AAGACAGCCTGGTGGGCTGCGCTGAGAGCCGGGCACTGGCACGCCTGGGCCCCGAGTGTGATGCGTACTTCACACTGGTTTGATCTGCTGCAGCTGATGGAAGTCGCCCTTCCCGGTGGTCTTACCTGAGCTTCAAAACCTTGCGCAGCGTCTTCCCGCTGTGGTGAGGCCAAGGCCCGTGTCTTCACAGCCAGGGCTCGTGCTGCCTACACGTACTTGCTCACTTTCACCGACAGCTTTGTGGGAGTGAAACGTAGCGGGCTTCTCCCAGAGCTTCTTCCTGGATCCTCTACTCAAATCACGCTGATTAGAACCAGCCCCTATATAATCTTTGTTTTTAAATCTTGTTTGAATGTTCCTACCTATCTATTCTTCCTGTCACTGGCCCTGGGGGGAGGGCTGCTCAAGACATGGTGAATTTCATCTGCTCCTGTCTCTCAAGAAAAGCAAAACCAGGAAGGCAGCCAACTGCAAGGACAGAAGTAGCTTTAGGACCAATCTATGTTGTGGATTCACTAATATGGCTTAAATCAAAGCACCTGAGAATGAGCTGATTGCTTCTGCTATTGAATTCAAATGTCTCTGTTTCAACCACATGATTTAACTTGTAAATTGCATCCAGGCTGCTGTAGAAATTCATCTAAAGGTGTGCAACATGGGCTCTTCAGAGACAAACATGGATAAAAACCAAGCATTTTACGTTTTAACAACTATTCCCCGGGTTACCCACTGAAGATTTTGTCTGTAACAGACATTCGGATTTTTATGGGTGTTTACAAATGAAATGGAAAGTTAGCAGATTTTGGGAAGCAGGCAAACTGGGCTTAAATCTTGGCATTTTTCCAGCTTTCTGCTCTTGGGCCAGTCAGTTACCCTCTCTGAGCCTGAGGTTCATACCCTGTACAATGGATTAGGGCGTCCTCACTTCTGATAGTTAATGATGATTAAGCAGGATCCTTTATTTGCATATAGAAAATATTCAGAATGGTGTTCATGTGAGAATTGGGCAAAGATCTGGAGGGAGTAGTGCATTTATTAAGGCTGTGAGCATCTACACATTTATTTTGTAACTAATCTTCTATTATGTATTATAGAGGTCCTTCTCAGTTACACAGGTGCGCTCTCAAAAGCCTCAGTAGTGAGCTGCCTGCTGTTAGACAACTCAAGACCTTCTGCCAAATCATGCTGGAGGACAGAAGTAGAAAATAAAATAAACCTGAGAACTATACTAGTAAAACCATACTAGTTTTATGTTTCTTAAAATAAGTGATACCACGCACTAAACTAAAACATTATTGATAGCATTTTACACATACTAAATGAATAATATTATTTCTCACCCTTGTGTTTCAATCACAGTTTCCAGAACATCTGTCTCACGAAGTGCCTGTCTTTGCTTAGAAGCTGCCGGCTTTCCTATGCTGAACATCGTGTTCAGCCTGACTGCTCCCTTGTTTTTCATCAGCGATGTTCCAGTCTCCCTGACGTGCTTGCTCGGCATCGACTTTCCTCTGTCTCCTTCAGCTCCGCGCTCACCGCCCTCTGCCTTTGGAGCTTGCTCTCAGAGGCTGTGTCTCCGCTCTCAGGCTGGCGCTGCATGGAGACTTCGACAGCAGAAGTTAAGAAACCAAGCAACGGCCTTCAGGTGCGATCCCACAACTGTACCTACATTTCGGGTACCGGGCTCGTGAGAACCGAGTGTTCATGTTCCTCGTACAAAGGCCCTGCCCCTCCATACAGTTTAAAAGCAAGGTCTCAGTAAAATTGCCCCTTTTACTTCTAGGCTTTTCACTTGTCCTCCATCGGCCTGATCTTTTTCCAACATAAAATTCTGTCTCTTTTCTTAATTATCATCCAGAGTACTCATGAATTAGAAACACTATAACTAACCTTCTCTAGTTGTTTAAATGATAGCATAAGTGTTAGTTTTCATCTAAATGTCAGTACGGCAAAAATTTACGAACTTGATTCTTCTATCTATATTTGTTCCTAATAATCATAATCTTTTCTACACTAGCATGTTTAAAAGTCAAAGCAGGAATATAGGGATAAGGCGGGAAAGTGCCAGTTTACCTGCTGCATATCTGCATATTTCAATGCATTTTTCTTGCTCTTTTAAAGGTAGGTCTGTTTAAAAGATCAGAACGGGGTTCCGAGGGGCAAAGCTAGAGCAAGTCAGGCCAGATAAAATAGCGGGCCAAGCCACGGCCTCAGAGGGAAACAGCAGAGTGAGCACGAGCCAGGGTGCGGCTGCAAAGACAACAGCTGGGGGTTGAAACGAAGCCCACGGAGGACGCGATGGAGGGCGCGTAGATAAGCGACGGCGTCTGCTGAGGTTGCTGCCGCACGGCAGCTCATCCTGTTGCCATCAGGGGCTTCAGTCATAGGGCCAGTTTAGAATGGCTTATTAACGTTTCTTATGCTTCATACTGGGTTATGTTGTTCACTCAAAGGGCAACTAGATAAAATAGCAGTTTGCTGTGGATCTCGAGGGTGCTGTGCGGCCGACTGACGCCCACTCACACGTGACTGTCCTGATGGACGCTTCCATTGGGCTTCAGCACGTCGCTATTTTGGACGCAAGGGTGAAATGTGAGGCTATAGGAATAAAAGGAGATTTTTGTGCCTGCCCGACACTTAGGGTAAGTGGAAAAAAGTCTTAACAATCTTAATAAAATGTACTGCTGATTGTCAGTGTGCTAAGAGATCAAACAGTACAATAAGTAGCCACCATGGGGGAGGACAGGGAAGGGTTAACTGTGGTTCTATAATGCACATGGGCTTGTGGTGTTGAGAGATTCTTTCTAATTGTATATCATTAGGCATATATTCATGGTGTTTATTTTACTTTCCATTTAAACTATTAATGAAATACTCTCTAAACATAAGATGCTAAAATTGTGTCAAATTAGTGCAAATTCTGCCCTACGTGGAAGAAAATACCATAATTACTGAGCAATAGAAATATAATTGTTTATAGTCCTTAAGCATTACTACAATTAACACAACACATTTGTTAGGCTTCTAGAATTATTGGTTGGTGATTTTTAAAATCCTTTTTATAAGTCTTCAATTTCTCTGAGTTTTCACCAATCCTTTTTTAAAAATTCTTTTAGGTCCTGCATAGTTCAAAAGATTTGGTATTTAGAAAGCTCTCTAAAGTTGAAATCTATTGGTACATGATCAGGATCCAAGGTTAAATATGGATAAATTTAATTTTAACTTGGATTTTATTTCATTTTATAATCGCTGTTTGTGTAAAATGCAATATCTATAAATAGCAAAGGAAGAAAGGAGAACCATGTATAGTTTTTTTTTTTATAGGTCACTCCCAATATGTACTAGTGAATAGTAGAAGCTCTGAGTTCAAATATTTTTAACCATTAAAATGTTGTTGCTGGAAATTATTATTTTGTACTAAGTAAACTTATGGAAACTTTAAATGGGACTTTCACATCAGTTGGTAAGTTTTTCTCAGCATCTTCTAATACACATAAGCATGCTGCTCTCTGTTTCTTGTTTTATCTTCTGCTAAATTGATCCTTTTCTTAAGTACTTGTCCCTTAATACTTATGTACATATTCTAAAGTAATATTTCCATAAGAAAATACTGTTAAACACATTCTAAATTCACTTTCCTTTTCATCCTATAAGAAAGTTACTTTCAGAATAAATAAAAATATAGTCTGAAGAGATGTTATTTACTTGTTCTAGAACTAACAATTGAACATTGTAGATGGTGCAAATTTGGTCGTGTTTGGCTGGGGCAACTCCTCCTGGGTCAGCACAGTCAGCGGTTTTACAGTGAGCTTGATCTCTGTATTTTCAGTGCTGGAGATATTTATGAGTCTAAGGGTACCATGCATAGCTATTAAAGGTAAAAGAAACAGCAGGGGCTTGGTTCCAACTGCATCGTAAACAATTGTAGAAAGATGTTTATTAAAGCTGGCTCTCAAGTGACAGATAAATGCATACCCTATTATGCATGCTAAATTCAGCATGCTGCAAATTTAAAAGCAGATAGATCAAAACAAGAGATATTTAAAAAATCATAAAGACAAAACACAACCATGTCAGTATGTGACAGAAACTAATTTTGCCTTCCATGTGATCTTCTCTTGGTTCCTCTAGGACTGTGTTGTCACATTTATGAAACGAAATTAAGAGCAAATTTGTAGGCTTCCATTTCTAAAGTTTTCTTCTACCAGCCTTTAAAAATCTGTTTCACTGGACTTAGTAAAGCCAACATAGCACTGAATCCCCTAAACAAAGAAGTGCCTCATATAATTATTGATTTATAATTCTTATTTATTAATATGTGATGTTTAGTTTAAGAAAAAAACCAAAGCCATAAAAGCACACATAAAACAGGTTTTTTCATCCATACAAGGTTCTAGTGATGATTTTCAGACATATTCTCTTGCTCCAGGCTAGTATGTTTTTAAATTTTCACTGTTCAGAATCATATTTACAGGAAAATTGCAAATAGTTTAGATGATGGGCTGTGAAGTCTTCACATGATTACCACATCACTTCCTTGGTTGCCTGGGACTTTGTGTGAATGCCAACAAACGTGAGTACCCCCCCCAACTGTGCCTTCTAACCTTTGTTCCCAAAGGTAAAGGGCAAGATTTTTAATCAAGTAGCAATTTATCTTTAATTAGGAAAACATAATTAGGCATTATCATCTAATTGCAATTACTGGTTGGAGAAAGTCACATTTCATGAGCAGTGACCCATGTTGGACTCCAGCTCTCCTATGACTGAATTCTGCGTGTGTATTCGTATTTGGCAGCTAGCCAAGGAAATTGAAAAGACAACCACTCGGCTTCTCCGCAGTCCCGGTGTCAAGTCACCAACTCTGTGGCTAAAGCAGAAACCAAGAAATCCTTCCTAAGCCTTAACTTAGCTATACCTGTTTCCTGCTCAGACACTGAGTATAAATCAAAGTAATTGTATATATATATATATGTATATATATATATATATATATATATATAAAAACATGTGAAATAGGTTAGAGAACTGCTCCACACTCCATTTCTGGTACAGTTAAAAACAGTTTAATGTCTCAAGGCACCGCTATGGTTGAACATGAGATACGTGGGGAACCAGCTAATGTACTATGCTGTAAAGTCAGTAAAGAGCTTGTGCGATAGTTGAAAGCAAATCTCTAGAGAACTGTTGAGTGTACAGTAGGCACGTGTATTGTAATACAAATAGAGAACAATGAGTCCTAGAAAAAGCATGTTGAGCACCGCACCGTTGTGGCATTGTTTGTAATTCTTTACTTAATGCTACGTAAACCTTACATTTACAAAAAGAAAAGACTAACTCCTTAACGTTACACTCAGGGTTGCTCTTTGTGCTATCTCCACACACGTAAATGCGTCTAGTTCGTAGGCGCACTTCTTGAAGTCGTTGGGTCTTGACCAGCGTCTGTTGCGCTGGTGGATTCATTCAAGTGAGAGCTCAAGTTTTCTGAGGTCAGGTGGGAAGACTTGTAGACAATCTCATTGAAGTCAGACCTGATGCAAACCAAAGGAGGGTCATTCAGCTGGTCCTCCACCGAGACCTGGGTGTTTTCTCGTGTGATTCCCATGTCTTTGCTGTGTTCTGATGGAGACTTTCTTTTCATGCGTGTGTAAGTCTTGTCTTGATTCTCCATGCCTTGTTCATTTTTCAAAAACCGCCCAAAGAACCAAATGAAGAATCCAAACCACACAAAAGCTATCAGACTTGGAACAAAGGCCATGCACTTGACATCAAGGCTAGCGCCTATGAACCGGCTGTGCAAGAACATGTCTCCCTCCACATAGGTTTTATTAGTCCGAGGGTTAGTGTGATTGGACCTCCATTCCCAAGACAGCTTGGTTCTGTTTAAATCCTTTAAGCTTTCTGAGTCTTTTACTGTATATATCTTCTGCCCTGGCCCAATATACTGTCCATACTCATGAGGTTTATAAAATATTTGATTCTTCCACATATTAAGATCCAAAATCAAGACAAGAAAGATAATTCCATAGTTAAACCATTTACCTGCAATTAGAAAGAAATATTGCATTAATCAAAGGCCCATAAAATTGCAAAGTGATTTTCTCAATAAAATGAAGATAATATCATGATATAAATTGGTAAGTGTTTTAGACCTGCTAACAATTAAATTTTGCCAGTCCAATGCTGCCATAAAGAGAGCTGGCCAGTGAAATTTACTAAGTGTGTTCTAGTCATACAGAAATGTAATTGTAGACCCGAGTCAGTACCTTAGGATAGCAATGTGTTTCCTTGTTTTAAAGGTAACACAAAAAAATTCAAATTTGATTTTATATAGGCTATTCTCTAAGATTTCATTTAATGCTGAAAATAAAGTTATAATGAAATTCTTAGAAAAGCTCAACGTGTGACTGAACATCTCTTACAGTGTTATAATTATGTTTGGGGAAGAAATAAATCATTTTAAAATCAACCGCAGTAGTATCTCAATTGAGTTCACATTGGTATTTGTCGGTGACCTGTTGATGAAACCATTAGTTGATGTGATTCAGATCGATAATCCCTGGGCATTCAGGACTTTAGAAATAATTGCATCAAATCCTTACTGAACAGAATGCATTTGTAAGATGCATGAACATAGCCAAAATTAAGGGACTACAATATAAAACATGATTTGTAGAAACTAACTACCATTATTTCTCTGTAGTATTTAAAATCTTACATGGATTTTATTAAATGATATGTTATCAAGTGATATCTTTACTTCTGCAAAGAGAAAGAATGTGGAAACATTTCCAGGGATACTAGATTCCAAAGTAATGTTTATTGTAAGTTATTAAAATACTACAGTATGAAATATATAATAGTAATATGTAATAACTACTTCATAAGCTTGTAGTAGCAAAACAGGTAATATGTCACAGGCTCTAAAAGTTTTATTTATAATTTTATATATTAAGCCCAAACTGTTTTCTTTTATATATGAAGATAATTCTCTTGAATGATTAAATTACTGCTTTACCTATGTAACTTGCCAGTATATCTACCAAAGTGTACAGCTATTTAAGGGTGAGGGAATGTAGCTGAGTGGCTGAGGAAAGTTTCTGCTGTCTTCACTACACACTTGCAAGTTCCTCCAAAATGCAAGGTTGGAAGCCATGATCCTGGCTCCGAAACTGACCTGCTGTGTGATCTTGGCCACTAAATTCTCTAAAGCAGAGTTTCTGGGACTTGGGTGATAGCTCAGCGGCATAAGTGCCTTCCTGGCAAGTTCAAGGTCCTGAGTTCTATCCCAGGTACCAAAACAACAACAACGGAAAAAAAAAAAAAAGAAAAGAAAAAAATGCAGTTTCTTAAATGCAGAAAATAATGTAGTGTTTATTAAAGTTATTTACACTTTATGACATTGCTAGATGATAGGCACAATGCCTATTAAATAGGAGGCACTCAGTGACTGTGACTACTAATTACGAAACGCTTGCCTAAGCCAGGACCATTTGTCCATTTGCATGAGAAGGTCCACCTTGCTCTCTATAAAGACAATGTACCGAAATGAGGTACTGATATCAGCACCCTTTCATCTGATTACATCCCTCTGGCTTGAACTTTAAGCATTCTGCTTTATTAATTGTATAAGCCTGTTCCAGTACAGAAGATATAAAGAGTGACTGGAACTTAGTGGCAAAGGTTACACATGTGTTGTCACGTCTGGAATCAACGTTTCCAGTTGCCTTCTGGCTGGGATATGCAAAAGCAAAAGCAAATTCAAAGATGAGCTCCTCACTAAGCATCCGCTGTGTTCTAATCGGCAGCACAGGTTACGTCTGTAGATGGTCACGACACAGGTTTACGTCTTTCAAAGGGAATTCATCATCTCGCTGGGGAAGCAGAGCAGAGACCGACGGATAACGAACGCTGCAGATGTGACAACGCAGAATGACTATTTAGGGGTAATTTCTGCAGAAAGGACTTTGGAGGACATAGCATCTCATGGGGTCACTGTAGGAAAGGCAGGGCAGAGCACACTTAGGACAGTTTTGTATTCTTTTTCAGTTTATGCTTTTAGTTTGTTGCAGATAGAACAACACATTGAGAAAGATGAAGTCATACAGAAGAGAGAAGACAAAGGTGGGGAGGGGAAAGTTCAGAGACTAGAAAGGCAGAGCGGGGTACAGAAAATTGAAGAAGAGTTCATCGGCGCCCGTCTGCTGTTAAAGAGACACTACTCTTGCAGTTTCCATGGCAAATGAAGGTATAGAGGGACACCGAGCTTTTCTCTTCTGTAGGAGCGTCACACTTATGCTCCACTGCAAATTATATACCCACAAAGCCAGACAAGATGGGACAGGCCAAGGGCCTTGAGCCTGTATGTTTGATCACTGCCGCCTCTGTGATTCTCAGAGGGGCCTTACTTAGGTCTTTTAGAAATGACATCGCAAACAGGGAAATCTTTTACAAAGGGTTTTCTGTTTCTATGACTTAAAGGATATTAAAATGGAAGATATCAGTATGCCAGAATCAGGGAAGAAAGCCAGGCATGGTGGTGTATGTTTGTGATCCCAGCACTGGGAGGCCGAGGCAGGAAGACTGCTCCAAATTCAAGGTAAGCCTGGGCTACAGAGTGAGTTCCCGGGCAGTGTGCATGATACAGGGAGACCTTATCTCAAGAAAACCCAAAACAAAAAATTCAGGAATATTTAATAAGAGTCTGGTAAGAGTGATTTCCTGGTAGGGAGGAGCAGCTCAGAGTTTGTCAAATGAACGAAGAGAAAACCCAAGGAAAGCAGAGAGCCGGAGAGGGAGTGAGCAGTTGTGAAAGAACACTGTGGAAGGAGGAGCTTTTCCCTAGGCATGCAAATCATTTTCTTCCACACAGTGTCAGGCCAGCATGACCACTTATCTTCTACAACAAAGAGGCCTCTCTCTCTCTCTCTCTCTCTCTCTCTCTCTCT